TCCGAGCTGGAGAAGATGGTAAGTGCTGAGGCCCTGTCACCAACCTGGCAGTTCACAGAACAGGAAGCTGGCCAGCGTGGCTAGCAGGTGGCAGCAGGTGGGGAGGGGTCAGCAGGGGTCACATGGCTGGAGGGCTGGGCTGCATTCTGTATGTGCTCACCGTGGTGGACCAACACTCTCTCTCTGGCTGTGAGGGGGCCGGAGCCAAAGGAGGGGCCCCCGGGAGGAGGAAGGAGGTGAGGTGGCCAGGGGTGCGCTTGTGGCCCCCCAGCACTTCCTGCGGGTGGAGCATGGTGGGCTGCCAAGTGTTCCCACTTGGGATGGGGCTCTCCAGCTCTGAGACCAGTGTGCTCTCCAGTTCCACGGAGGGCTCCGAAGGGGGCAGGCGGCAGCAGTCTGCCTCGGGTGACCCCGGGGGAGCTGTCAGGTGTGCATGTGGGAGAACCGAGGCCCCGACAGGTGAAGCAGTTTGTCCAGGTGGCCCCAGAAATGGCTGCTGGAACAGGCCCCGACCCCACAGACGGACGTGTGGGCCAGGGGTCTCAGGCTGCACCTCCTTCCCCACCAGGATCCAAAGCTATTTAGACTCCTTCAGAACCACACTGGCCTCTCTCCAGTTCAGCCAGGAGAGGAGCAGGAGCATGTTCTTCTTGGATTTCTTTTTTTTTTTTTTTTAAGGTTTTATTTATTGAGAGAGAGCACAAGAGCAGGGGGGAGAGGCAGAGGGAGAAGCAGACTCCCCGCTGAGCTGGGAGCCCCACGCAGGGTTCGATCCCAGGACCCTGAGACCATGACCTGAGCCAAAGGCAGCCACTTCACCAACTGAGCCCCTCCTTTTTTTTTTTTTTTTTTTTTATTCCAGGTTTAGGTATTATACCCCTAGATTTATTCAGGGGTTGGTTTTCTCAGCTTTTTAAAAATATAGTTGACATCCAACATCGTCTGAGTGTGATGTGTGCAACACGGCGACCGATGTCTGTGTGATCTGTGTCTGAGAGATGTCTGTGAGATGCTCACCGTGATGAGGTTAGCGGACACAGCCACCGCTCGGGGTCAAGATCCGTGTCTTAGCCGCCTCTAGGGTGCCACACCATGCGCTCAGCTGTGGCCACCTTGCTGCGCATTAGATCCCAGAACTCACGACTACACCCGGAGGCGTGTGCCCTTTGACCTCCTTCACCCGCCCCCCGCGGACACCTATCGGCCGGTTCCTGTGGGCTCGCCTTCCCGAGATTCCGCAGCGCAGTGAGACCAGCAGTGCTTGTCTTCCTCTGCCTGCTGATCCACCCAGCGTCGTACCCTCGGGGCATCCTGGCGTCCCTGTTGTCACTCGGGCAGGACTCGGTTTTTAGGGCCGGGTGCACTGCATCTTCTTCGTCCGTCTGTCAGCAGACGGTACTTCCACGGCGAGGCCACTGTCAGTAACGTTGCCGTGACCCGGGGGGCCCTGCCTTCAGGACCGCAGTCTTCCTTCCTTCAGACACCCCCAGCAGCAGCTCCGGCCTGGGTTGTCGTGGGCCCTCCCTGCTGCCCGAGGTGGCCGCCCACACACACTGCGGCTGCCCAGCCTGCCCTGTCCCTAGAGAGGAGCCCCTCACAGCCATGCTGGCCCTGCCGGGTCACGTGTGTGTCCACCATCCGTCACCTCCGTGGTCCTCACAGCCGGCTCGGGCCACACCACTTCCCTGGTCCCGCAGGCTCCAGCCGCCATTCTCTCCACGGGAGATGAGTGGGCTTCAGAAAGTGGGCCCCTCCGCCCCCACTGCCCTGTTCTAAAGAGGCTGAGTGCCCGGATGAGCATTTTGTAGAGATTTTCCAGGGATGGTTCCCATGCAAGAGACACTAACTATCGAACTAGCTAACCTTAGTTCAGCAGCGTTTCAAAGGACAGTCCGTGTGACCGAGACCCCTTTGCCTGAGAAGAGCAACACCACATCCAAGGACGTTTCCTGAAAAAAAAGTTACACGCTAGGACCAGTTCCCAGCGCCAGGGAGGTTGGTTTGTTGGAAGCAGATGCTGTTGGGATGAGTGTTTACTGTGTGATTTTTGTGACTTTGCATCCTACGTAAAGTCCTCGTCACTGGTTTCCCCGAGCCTCGGTTTAGGCAGGGACAGATCCCTCACCAACGAGGAGCTTGCCGGTGTCTGCTGTCCAGAGCGGGCAGTGCGACTGGAACAGTGACCGTGGCATTGCCACGTCTGTGTACGAGCTCTCACGTCCCCACACAGCCCCTTCGTTGTACCCCGCGGTTGGGAAGGCTGGCCACGGTGTTCATGAGACCCTCTTGAGGTGGAGACGTGCCACTACTTTCAGGGTAGCTTAAGGCTGGCCAGGCGTAAAAGCAAAAGCTTCTGATAGGAAGAGGGCAGTGCTTGGCGCCCGGGCCTCGGCCCTGCGCTTGGAGGCCCTGGCACACCCGCCTGCCTTATCTGTCCCCGCGTGGCGGGTGCCCTCCAGGACCTGCTGCCCTCCTTACCGCACCCTGCCACCCTCTCCAGGATGAAGCCGGTGGGGAGCGTGAATGACGTGGCCTTGGATGCCTTAGATTTGGATCGGATGAAACAGGTGAGTGTGATCTTTCCTGAGAGGCTGTGCAGGAGCCAGAGGCTGGGACCCTCTCTTGTCCACGCGGGCAGGCAGGGTGGCCAGAGGTCTGTCGGGGCGCCCACGCTCAGCACTGGGCCCCCAACCCCATCAGCAGCAGAGAAGCCTCCCTCTGCCCTTCTGGACCCCCCAGCCTGCTCTGGGGCCGCCCCTGGCTTCTGCAGCGGGACTTGGGGTGGGGTGCCGTCTCCCATTCACTCCGACCTTGCCCTGTGGGGACGCTAATGAGACGCGTCCTTGGGACACACCGCCCCTGGCAAAGCCAGCTTCCTCCACTCTGTTTCCTGTCCCTTCACTTTGAAGCTCTGCTCCCTACAGGAGATCCTCGAGGAGGTAGTCCGAGAGCTCCACAAAGTGAAGGAGGAAATCATCGACGGTGAGTGGAGGGCCTGCCCCGGGACGTCACCCAGGGTCCCTGCGGGGCGGCGGGGCGGCCCGCCCCCTGGGCTGCGAGACAGCAGAGCCGTGCTGGCCCAGCAGGGAGACCATCCTGGGCCCAGACGCCCAAGGTCCCATGGCCACGGTTCCGTCCCTCCTGCTGATCACATCACCCCCGTTCTGTGGTCAAGCAAACTGAGGCTCAGTTAAGTGACTTGCCCAAGATATGTATGTTCCTGGTGGGGTGACAGCTAGATCTGCACTCACCCGGCTTCCTCCCTGGGGTGAACATGTGAGAGTGTGGACCGGGAGAGTGATCCGAGGATGCGTTCCTGAGCAAGACCACTGAAGCAGCCTCAACGGTGATCCTTGGCTGCCTCAGCATCTGTGCACTCAGACCGCCGTCCCTGAGTCTCCCACCTTTGATCACCGGGTTTGGGTTAGGAGGGCGGCTGCTGCCTTCCTGGGGGTGGGGGTGGGGGGGTAACGGACACCAAGAAGCTCCAGGACGACCTGTGGGTCTGACACAGTTCCCAGCGGGCCTGGCCTTGGGCAGGGAGGGCAGGCATGTGTCTCCCGCTCCAAGTGTTGAGTGTCGGGCTCCCGAGGGCAGGGCCCTTGTAGTGGATCACATCCGTCCTTCCGGTTCCTGCCAGAGCCTTTGATACACTGGCTCAGGTCCCAAGCCAGAGGAAGAGGAGAGGTTCAGGCAGAGCCGGCTGGCCCCGGGAGCAAGCAGAGAGGCGCAGCTTGAGCCCCCCCCCCCCCCCACCGAGCCTGGGCCTGGCCCCTGAGGCAGCAGAGGGGACCCGGGCAATGAGCTAAAAGGGGTGGGGGCTGGTGGCAGGCGGCTGGAGAGAGGGGAGGCCAGGATGGGAGCCTGCGTGTGGGGCCAGAGATCCAACCCCCTGCCCCGAGCTGTGAGCGCCGCGCCCTGTCCTTGCCCCAGCCCAGAACTGGTGTTCCTGTTTGTCCAGTCCCCCCACAGGCCTGGGATGGGCAGATAAGGAGTTAATGAATGAAGAGCGAGGCTGAGCGGGGAGCCAGAGAGGACACAGGCCAACTATTAACTCCACTTTATTGCTGGGGGCCCCGTCAGGGAGGGGCCGCCAGCTGGCCCCGGGGCCAGAGCCCGTGGGCGCCAGAGCGGGGTTGCACAGCCAGCCTGACTGCAGGGCACCCGGCAAGGCTGGAGGCTGGACGGGGAGGGGGTGCCGCAGGCCAGGCCCGGGGGGAAGCTGCCTCGAGGGTGGGCCTCCCCTGAGGCCGGGGCAGCACGGGCCGGGCCAGGGCTCCGAGGAGCATCCTCTGGTTGGATGAGTGCCCAGCACTTGGCTCTTTTGGCTCCAGGCCCGGGGGCGAGCGGGGTCTGTCCCCAGCGTCGTGGTGAAATCTGTCCCCACACTGCGGTGTCTGTGTCCACGTGGTACTAAACGCTCTCCCCCAAGTGTGGGGAGAGGGGTGGGGTTACGGGGGGTGGGGAGAAGACGAGAGGCAGCACTGCCAGGACAGTCCCCCTGCTCAAGGCCCAGCGCTACCTGCTGCCGCTGCCGGAACCAGGGGCCACCTGCCCGAGCGGCTCACAGGCCCGCACCGGCTCGGGGTGGCAGGCAGGTCGGGTCGCCCGCAGGGCTGTGCTGTCGCCCCAGGGTCTGCGCCGGAGCCCGCTGCCTGGGGACCCCTGGGTGTGGCGCCCAGGACACGGGGCCGGGCACAGCCCAGAGTCCCCCCGGGGGCGCGGGGACAGGGCGCCAGAGAACCAGCAGGCCCGCCCTGAGCCTCCCTGTCCGCCCCGCAGCCATCAGGCAGGAGCTGAGCGGGATCAGCACCTCGTAACGGCCTGGCCCCGCCGCCGAGACGCCAGGCCCGCGACGGCGGGGGACGGCGCACGCAAGCTCGCGCTGGAGCCGGAGGGGCTTCGTTTCAAAGTCTTAACCTGTGATGAAATATTAAAATGAGGAAACAAGTTCAACTTCTGGATTTTTTTAGATTCTACCTGACAGAACTCCAGGTCTATCGCCTTTTTTGTATTTTATATTTGCCTATTTAAGTGTACATTCCTTTTGGTTTATAGAGGACTCCCCGAATCACGCGCTTCATTAGATGGTTTCCGAGTTTTCTCCTAGGTGATGCTGTTAGCAGCCTGGCCGGCAGTGGCGAGCCGTCCCCAGCGGCGTGGCGCATCTGCCCACGCACTGCGCTGCCTGTGTCCACGTGGTAATAAACGCTTACTGTCCACACCGGGCTCCGGCTCCCTCTCTCACGGCTCTGGGCCCTCCGGGCTGAGGATGCTCCCTTGGGTAACGGCCCTCGAGCGTGCTGGCCAGGAGCCGCGGGGACAAGGAGGCGGCCTTGGCAGGTGGCCGCGCTGAACGGGAAGGTGGGAGTGAGCCTGGGTGGCCTGGGGGGGGGGGCAGAGGGGTCTGGGGGAGCCTGAGGGGGCCTACCCCCACAACCTCCCCCGGAGACGGGCCCTGGGTCCTGCCCACACCTGGAGCATCAGGGGCTGGCTCTATGCCTTAATGCTGAGCCACCTCCCGTCCCCCAGGGACTCAGCAGTGTGCAGGCCGTCCTGGGAGGGCCTTGGGGAGGGGAGGAGGCAGGGCCCGCAGTCTGGCTGACGTCAAGCGACCGCTGTTCTCCGGTCCGGCTCTGGACACCCCACCTGCTCAGGTGCTCCCAACAACCGTAAGGACAGAAGCAGGATGGTTCTGCCTGTTGGGGGTGAGCAGCCTGAAGCTGGACCCCAGAGTGGCCGCCCCAGATCCAGCAGCGCTTGTATCCCAGGGCGGCAGGGTCCGCAGCTGCTCTCTCTAGCTGCGTTTGCCCCCATAGGCCCCGGGAATCCTGCCTAGGGTCCGGAGTGGGGGGAGCTGGCAGGTGGTGATGGACAGGTGGGTGACCTGCAGGAGCCGTGCTCCTGGGGCCCCCGACTCAGGCCAGCCTGTTTGTGTGGGGGTGGGGGGCCTGCCCAGGCCAAGCCACACTTCCCTCACCCCACAGGCCCTGGGGACGGGGGTGCCTGGCACCACAGGAGGCCACTCCCAGCCCTGGGCAGGAAGTCCTTGCTCAGCACCTGCCGGGTCTCCAGGGCTGCCACAGGCCTGCCTCCAGCCCTCCCTCTCCTCGGCCGCTAGCACAGCCCCTCTGCGCCTGTCCAGGGGGTGCGCCCCAGCCTCAGGGCCACACCTACCGTGGTCGGGCCAGGTGCCCCTCCTGCTCCTGCCGCCAGCCCCTGGGGCCAAGGGGCTGACAAGACTTCCCGAGGTTTCAGCTGTGCCCCCACCCGTCAGGACAGGGTCCTCACCAAGGACACCAGCCTGCCTCCCCTGAGCTATAGTTCACTCAGGCAGTCACCTGTCTGTCCAGCCAACCTGTCTACCCTCCGTCCATCTGGCCTGCGGCACCTGTCCCTGAAGATTTCTTCAAGTCCTGGGGGAGCTGGCCAGGGAGACAGATCCACCCTGTCCAACCCGAACCCTCCGGGGCTCCGGGAGGGCTCCCCTCAGGCCAAGGCCTCAAGGTGGAGCAGGAGCAGGGGTGCGGCTGAGGGGGGCAGTGTCTGCAGCACTCGGACAGGCCAGAGGAGAGGGAAGGCTGCTAAGGAGGGGCTTCAGGGCCACCTGGTGTGGCCATGGAGGGCCCCGAGGCCTGCGGGGTGGGGGGGAGCCAGGGCCCCCTTCTGAGGCCAGGCTGGAGCCTTGACCGCCGCTGGGAAGCATGATCTGATCTGCGGGTGTGGAAACAAACGCTGAACTGAATTTAGGGCGTGGGAACAGCAGCAAAATCAGCCCCGTGGAGACTGTGGGCACGTAGCACCCAGGCCAGGGCCAGGCCTCTCTCCCGAGCCCCAGAAAAGGGGGGCCGGGCCGGGGGTCGACCGCGCAGGTGCAGACCAGGCCTCTCCAGGCCAGATGTGGTCCTGGGCTCTGGGTGACCGGGCGCAGCCAGGGTGTGGGAACCAAATGCAACCAAACCAGTTCTGGGCCCTAGGCTGGGGGTGGGGTGGGCAGTGACGAGCAGCTTGGTGGCGGCAGAGGAGCGAGGCGGGGCAGCCGGCCGCCGGGGATCCGCGGGGTCCGTCCACTCGGGACACCAGGGGCTCACAGTCCGTCCTCGGCCAGCTTGCAAACCCGCTTCACCCTGGCGTAGGGCCCCAGGGAGTCCTCGAACACAAAATCCCAGAGCACCTTCACCCACGAGTGGTGCTGGGGCAGGTGGTCGTAGTACTCAGGTGCAATCTTCCGCACCTGCAGGGAGGGCGAGCAGGGTCAGAGGCCGCGGTCCGGGCACGCGCCGCCCCCCACCCATGCACATGCACGTGAGCATGCACACAGGCACACACACCCCGTCACCCCCGGGGCACGTCCGGCTGGGTGCTGCCCGACGTGGAGGGGCTTCTGGCCTGCGACACCCCACAGGCTGTGAGCCCCCTGCCCCACGCAGGGGTGAGCGGTTAAAAGTGCACCCTCCCCCTCTGGAGCCCGTGCAAGTGTCTGATCCAGGAGCCCCCCGGGGGCCGACCTGCATTCCCCCGAGGGAATCCTGGGGGAGCACCCGAGGACTCCTGAGCCCCAGCCCGGCGTGGGTTCCGCTGAGCCACGGGCCCGCCGGAGCTGGTCACGCAGCGTCCCACACCCTCTCCTGTGCCCCAGCCCCTCTGGCATCGGATCCCACCAGGCCCCACCCCACCGCCCTCTTCCCAGGCCCGGTGCTTCCCATTTCCCCGAATGTGTGTCACGCACACACACCCCCAGCCTCCTGCAGCCTCTGCACCCACACAGGCCCAGCCCACCTCCTCCGGGAAGCACTCCCAGCCTCAGCTGACTGCCAGGACGACCTTCTCTCCCCCCAGGGAAGGCCCAGGACAGGCGCTTTATAGCAGGTGACCAGCCCACCTGCGGGGGCGGGGGCAGGGAGCCTGTGACAGCCTGGGGGAGGTCAGGACGGGCTCCCAGCTAAGGACAGGAGTTTCCGTGGCCTGGGGTCCAGACTCTGGCTCTGCTACTTCCTGAGGCAGAGACGCCCCGTCTGAGCTCTGTGTTGCCTGTGAAGTGTGGATAATGGGGGGCTGGGCCGCGGTGAGGCTGAGAAGGCGCAGGCACCCCGCGGGACCTCAGCAGCGTGGGCAGGGGACGGCGCGGGGGCTGCACGGCCAGGGCTGGACACGGGCCAGCAACCAGCACCGGCACACTCAGGCACCCATGCAAGCATCTGCACACAGGCGTGCACTCGAGCACTCACACCTGCACACAGGGCAGGCACGCACACTCCGACACCCCCCCCCATGCCCACTCCAGCCAGCCCGTGCCTGGGGTCCCCTCCGCTCTGTCTAACCCACCAGCATGGGCCAGAGCTCCTCCTCCTCCTCCTCTTCTCTTCCTCCCCCCCTCCCTCCTCCCACCTTCAGAAATTCCCCAGGGTGGGGTGCAGCTCAGGCCAAGCCCCTTGGTCACATAGGGCGAGGCCCACCCTGTCCTCTCTGTGCCATGAGGGGGCCCTCGAGGGTCACGGGGCCATGACGAGATGAGCAGGGACAGGGGAGGCAGGAGCCAGGGAGGGGAGGCCCTTCGCAAGCCCAAGGCTGTGCCACCCCAGCTTAAGGAGGGGGAAGCCGAGGCACAGAGAGGGCAAGCGGTTTGCCCAAGGACGTCAGCCCGCAGAGCGCAAATGTCGCAGCTGGGTTCCGACAGGTTCTCATTCCACCAGGTGCCCTTGACCATAAAGCGGCCGCGAGCCCCTGCCCGCCCCGCTGCCCCCGCCTCCCCCTGCAGCCGGGCGCTGGCCGGCGGGACCGCGGCTGAGGGGGCAAGGCCGCGTGGGCTGGGGGTGGCCCCGCGCCCGGGCACCGCCTACCTGGGGCAGGTTGCAGCCGGGGATGCTGGGAAAGTCGTGGTGCTCCACGTGGTAGCCCACGTTGAAGGTGATCCAGTTGAGGGGCCCGTAGTAGGAGTAGGTCTCGTGGCCCTTGAGGAACATGTAGTGCTCGGCCACGAAGTGCCCGGAGATGGGGTGCAGGCCCAGGCCGAGCAGGGAGCTGGCCAGCAGGTAGGCCACGGGCTTGAGCCCCCACAGGGCGAAGAGGGCGGCGTCGGCGGCCAGCTGCACCAGCGCGTTGAGCACCTCCATGCGGGTCAGGGCCTTGGGGTGCACGCAGAGCGGCCGCAGCGAGTAGAAGAGCGGCTGCAGCGCCAGCCAGAGCAGCTTGCGCGCCGGCGTGCAGAAGAGCCGGCCCTCCAGGCGCGTGGGCACGTCCACGTCCAGCCCGTCGCCGCCCAGGTAGCGGTGGTGGTCCACGTGGTACTTCTTGAAGGAGGCGGCGAAGGGCAGGCCCACCGGCAGGTTGGCGAACACGGCGAGCCAGCGGTTGTGCGCCGCGCGGCCCGACCCGAAGGCGGCGTTGTGCGAGATGTCGTGGATGGCCAGCGTCAGCGAGTGGTTGACGCAGCCGCCGAAGGCGTAGGCCCAGAAGAGCAGCCAGCGCCACGGCAGCTCCCGCGCCAGGCGGCAGGCCAGCAGCTGCGCCAGCACGAGCGCCAGCACCGTCCACTTGAGCCACGGGTCGGGCCGCATCAGCGCCTTGATGGCCGGGTACTTGGCTGCGGGGGGACGAGGACAGACCGTGAGGCCGGGCCCCCCCCCCCCCGCCGCCCGCACCAGCCCCCGAGCCGCCGCCGTGACACCAGGGCCCTGGGGGCCTAGGGACAGCCTTGCCCCCGGGGCCGCTGGGGCAGCCCCACCTGGGGGCTCTGGGGAAGTCTCCCCGGAAAGGGGGGCGGGAGGCGGTCCTCGCCACCTGCCTGAAGAAAGAGCGGGTGTCACCGCGGGTCACAGACACTAAGGCCCGAAGCCCAGCAGCGGCCTAGACCGCAGGGTAAGCGCCCTGGGGCCAGGGGGGCGGCAGGGGGGCCCGGCTCTGTCGCCAGGGTTCCCGCTCCTAGCCCAGCCCTAAGGAAGCTCGATAAAATGTTGAATGCATTTACTTTGGGGGGTGGGGGGTGCTCGTTACAGGATCTTTTGTACTTTTCTGTACTTTATTCTACAGGAAAGAAAAAGACAATGATGGTGGGAGTGAGCCAAGCAGGGGAGGGCCTTCTGGCCAGAAAGCAGCCAGGCCAGACCCCGCAGGGCGAGCACAAGAGTGGGGTACGGGGGTGCCCCTGGCCAGGACGGCGGTGCCGTCCAGAAACCTCCCTGGCTGCTCGGTGGGAGGGGGGTCAGGAGTCCGGTGCTGTGTCCAGGGCTGGGGATGGACCGGCCAGGGGTGCTCACGCGCTCAGGGCGGCACCTGCCCCCCGGTTCCCAGGCCCTCAGAGGCAGAGCCGCGCGTGAGGCACAGACCTGGAAACCGGGCCCACGTCCCCGGGGCTTACCCGGGCACCCTCGGGAAAGCCAGTGCTGGTCACCAGCGTCTTCCCCGCTCCTGCCCACAGAGCAGCCGGGCAGCCTCGGGCTCACCCTCCACCCTCCGACAGGGCCCGGAACCGGCCAGGCCAAGGGCAGATCCTGCCCGGCCCTTTCCTCCAGCTGACCCAGGAAGTCACTTCCCCTTTGTGCTCAGAAGGGAAGGATGTGACAGCTCGGCTCAGCTGCCCAAGGTCCCCACAGCCAGGCCCCTCCGCCCTCCTCCCAGCCCACAAAACTTTGTCAGAGCCAGCCGGCAATGGAACAGGCTGAAGAGAGGTAGTGAGCCGACTGTCCCTGGGAGTATGCAAGGAGAAACACACAACAGGGGCAACGGGAGTCTGGAAGGGAGACTCCGGCTCAAAATCCTCCTGCCTGAGCTGCCACCGCACAAGCCCATCTTGGGGTTAGTCGGTGTCCCGGTGTGTGATGGCAGGGGTGCCATGTGCTCTGCGGAGTACCTGTCCCCATGAAGGATCCTAGCTCCAGGACAGCAGAGCCACGTCTGCTGGAGACGCCGCGGGGAGCTGGGGCTCTCAAGTCCTAGAACCGCCGGCCGCCTCTGCCCGGAAGCCAGCAGAATCCCCCACGAGCGCCCCCCAAGCCTTCGCCTCATCTGGCAGCTCCGGTGGTTGGGGCTCTGGCCCAGCGAGCAGCCGCTCTCCACGGCCCTAAGGACAGCCTGCGGGTGGCTGAGGTGGGGCCGGAACCCCCGGCAGCCAGGCGGGCGGACAGGACCGGGGCTCCCCCGGCAGCTGCCCTCCCCCTGCACGCAGGGGCCACCTCCAGCCTGGGGCAGCGCCAGCCCCCGGGCCTCCAAGCTGACAAAGCCGCCCGGGCCCTTGGATCCCGGAGGCCCTCTCCCTGCAGCTCGGCCAAGGACCCCACCAGGACGGTGGTCACAGCACGAGCAGAGAACCAAGGAAGCCACGGCCCAGGGGACAGTCCTCAGCCCCACTCACCGGGGAGCACAGGGGCCTGGGAGGAGCAGCTCAGAGCGGGTTCTTTTTTTTTTATTTTTATTTTTATTTTATTTTATTTTATTTATAATAGTCACACAGAGAGAGAGAGGCAGAGACACAGGCAGAGGGAGAAGCAGGCTCCATGCACCGGGAGCCCGACATGGGACTCGATCCCGGGTCTCCAGGATCGTGCCTTGGGCCAAAGGCAGGCGCCAAACCGCTGCGCCACCCAGGGATCCCTCAGAGCGGGTTCAAGTCCTCACCCTGGGTGGGTGGGGGTTTCATATCCAGAATACATAGAGATTTCCTACGACTCGACAACAAAGACGATGAGCAACCCAATGTAAATGGGCAGAGGACTTGAGTAGACGTGGCTGCGGAGACGTGCAACTGGCCACGAAGCACAGGAAAAGATGCCCAACATCATTAGTCACCAGGGAAATGCAAACTAAAGCCACAAATGAGATGCCGCTTCACCCCACCAGGATGGACAGGTTCAACATCAGACACCTGCAAGTGTTGGCGAGGCTCCGAGGACACTGGAGCCCTCTGGACGCGGCGGGCGGGGATGCAGAATGGTGCCGCGGGAGGCCACTTGGCCGTTCCTCAAAAGGTTAGATGTAGAATCCCATACGCCCCAGCAACTTCACTTCTAAGTGTGCACCCAAAGGACTTTACATCGGGGACACACACAGATCCTTGTACCCCAGGGTTCGTCAGGTTGTTCGCAGCGGCCAAAAGCTGAAACCAACCCCAGTGTCCATCCACAGGTGACCAGATAACCGAAACGTGCTCTGTCCACACAACAGAATCTGATTCGGCCACAAAAAGGAACAAAACTTCCAGCCAAAACATAATGAAGTCCTGGGGGGTAACGTACAGCACGATGACTACAGTTACGAATACCATGTTGGGGACGCGTGGTGGCTCAGCTGGTTGAGTGACTCTTGGTTTCAGCTCAGGTCATGATCTCGGGTCGTGAGATCGAGCCTCACGTTGGGCTCCACGTTCAGTGGGGTGTCTGCTTGATGTTCTCTCTTCCTCTGCCCATCCCCCCACTCCTGTGCATGCACACTCGCTCTCTTGCTCTCTCTCTAAGTAAATAAACTTTTTTTTTAAAAAAAGTAGATCTTGGGCAGCCCAGGTGGCTCAGCAGTTTAGCGCCACCTTCAGCCCAGGGCGTGATCCTGGAGTCCCGGGATGGAGTCCCACGTGGGGCTGCCTACATGGAGCCTGCTTCTCCCTCTGCCTGTGTCTCTGCCTCTCTTTCTCTCTCTCTGTGTCTCTCATGAATAAATAAAGCTTTAAAAAAAATTTAAAAGTAGATCTTAAAAGTTCTCATCAAGTTTTTCATCCAGGACACCTGGGTGGCCTTGGGCTCAGGTCATGGTCCCAGGGTCTGGGGATCGAGTCCCACATCAGGCTCCTTGCATGGAGCCTGCTTCTCCCTCTGCCTGTGTCTCTGCCTCTCTGTGTGTGTCTCTCATGGATAAATAAATAAAATCTTTAAAAAAAAAAGTTTTCTCATCCAAGAGCTCAAGAACAGAAGTTTTTATAACTATGTATGGTGATGGACGTTAAGTAGAATTACGGCGGCGATCATGTTGCAATACAGACGGAGTCATGCACCCGAAACTAAGACCACGTTCTATATAATTATACCTCAATAAAAAACATTTCTACATTGAATTTTCCACCGTCCCTGTTTCACAATGCCGACACCCTACTCCTGCTGCCTGAAACCGACTCACAAGTAAACGACCGGCTCCCAGAAACCATTTGTTTAGAAGGAAGGAGGTGCTGACACAGGCTACACACGGATGGGCCTTGAAGACACGACACCAAGTGAAAGAAGCCAGCCGCGAAGGCCACGCGGTGTAGGACGGCGCTGGATGAGGTGTGGGGAGCAGGGGGTTCACAGAGATGGAAAAGAGGGGTCAGCGGGGGGGGGGGGGCTGGGAACGGGTCTATTTGGAGCCCTGAGAAGGTTTTAGAAACAGCCACAAACAGGGGCGCCCGGGTGGCTCAGTCGGTCAAACATCTGCCTCCAGTTCAGGTCGTGATCTTGGGGTCCCGGGATCGAGTCCTTCATCGGACTCCCTGCAGGGAGCCTGCTTCTCCCTCTGCCTGTGTCTCTGCCTCTCTCTCTCTCTCTCTGTGTCTCATGAATAAATAAATAAAATCTTTTTATTTTTAAGATTTTATTTATTTGACAGAGAGAGAGGGAGCACAAGCAAGGAAGCTGCAGGCAGAGGGAAGGGGAGAAATAGGATCCCCGCAGAGCAGGGACCCCAATGCGGGGCTCCATCCCAGGACCCCAGGATCACGCCCTGAGCCGAGGGCAGATGCTCAACCAACTGAGCCACCTGGCCACCCCAATACATAAAAACTTAAAAAAAAAAATTTTTTAAGAAAAATAGCCGCAGTGCACAACGCTGTGAATGCCATCAAATAGGACACTTCCCGCAGTCCCAGTGCGAGCTGTATGTTGTGTATTTTACCACAGTAAGAAAAAAGTCAAAAACAAAAGAGAAAAGTCTAAGTAACCTCAGGTCAGCTCAGCCGCGAGCCTCGGCGTCCAAACCACGGCCAGGGTCACCGGCAGGCCCGACAGGCGAGGCCCGGGACAGGCCGGCGGCGGCCGCGGGATGACGGCAAGAAGAGGCAGGACCCGGGACGGGGCAGCTGTGTCAACAGGCCCCAGGGACAGCAAGGGGACAGCACCAGGCTGACCATCGGCTCGCCCCGGGGCCTGCCATGTTGCGCAGTGGCCTCTGGCGGCGTGCCCGCATCACGGGATGGGACCTGGCTGCCACACAGGTCACCTCCCACCGTGGGAGGCCTGGAACACTCGGGGTGCCACGTGGAGCCAGGAGAGCCCGTTCGCAGAGTGGGGAGAGATACGGCAATGGGGGGGCAGGATAACGGTGCCCCCAAAGACATGCATGTCCCAACCCCATAACCAAGGAGGCTCTGAGGCAGTGGAAACCAAGGCCGCACAGGGCAGCCGGGGTGCTCGCGGCTGACCTCACGCCGGGAGGATGGCCTAGATTATCCAGGTGGCCCGGTGTCACGGTGAACCATGGGCAGGAGAGGGAGCCCTGGGGCCCCAGAAGGTGGAGGTGGAGGTGGAGGTGGAGGTGGAGGAGGGGCCGCAAGCCCAGGACTGCAGGTGCCTGCAAAGCTGGAAAGGCCTGGAAACAGATCCTCCAGGACCCCTGGGTGGCTCAGTG